CCCGAAGAAGCACGTGTGGTAGACGGCGTCGTCCGCGTCGCGCCCCGCCCGCCGCGCGCCCCCGCGGGGACCCCCGGGCGCGGCCAGCAGGGGGCCGAAGGGCAGCGAGCCCGGGAGCAGGCCCGCGCCGTACAGGCAGGAGCGCACCGACTCCAATGTATCATAAATGCTCGGGTCCTTCACCACCAGGCCTGCAGGGGCAGAAAAGACACGAGGAAGCGTTGTCAGAGGGCATGGAGAGGGGACCTCAACTCCTTCCTGCTGAGCATCCGTGTGGCCCCTGGCCTAAGCCCCGCTTCCCTCCTCTGTAAAACAGGAATTATACACTCGAGTCCTTATGAAGACCACTGTGACACAAGAGCCCCGGAAGGCATTTGAAACGAGCTCACGGAGCCTCGCTGTTCCTATGGGTAAAATGGAGAAGGTACTAACGCTCGCCTTCAGAAAGCTGTTGGGAGAAGGAACTAAAAATGTGTGTGCAGCGGCCCAGGGCAATATTGTACCCATAGCAGTAGCTCAACAAACTTTTCTTCACTTTGGAGAGGGAAGTAACCCACGAGTGCTGAGGGGGGAGCATGCATAGGGACATCAGTAGGGGTGAAAGGGACCCTTTGCACCCCCAATCTACTCACCGTGCACCAGCCGCTGCTCTTGGACCATTAGGGACCTGTATTCTCCCCACTTCTCATACAGGGTTTGCTGCAAGAGACACCCCCCGCCTCACTGTCAGGAGCTAAGCAAGAAACAAGCAGGAGGTGGGTATAGACGGAGGGATCAGGCAGTGCACAGAAGAAATCTGAAGGTTAAAGCATATTCGGACAGGTAAATGAGCCCCTAAAAAAAGAGTGAGGGCCGGAGGGGCAGGAGCTTGGAAGAAGAGGGTGGAGGCTGGACGTTAACTGGGCTGCCCTACCTTTAGGTACTGCAGACGTGCCTCCAATTCAGCCTTCCGGATTGACGTCCCATACAGAGTTTCCAGCCTGAGGAGGTTGGGGAATTAAAGGCTAAGTGAGCCCACAGGGTGCGGACACACTGAGAGAAGCTGGGCTCAGGAACCCTCAGGATGGCAGCGTCCAGACATACCTGAGAACATTGCCAGACGCCTTAATGATGTCAACAATCTCTCGATGCCGGATACCTTCCACGTTCAGGCCATTAACGCTGGCGATGGTGTCCCCTGCCAGGCAGAGAGGGGATGAGCTTGTGTTCCACGGGGCAGGATGGAAGAATTGCAGCCCCCTACCCTAGCCAGGAAGGGTAGGGGTAATACACAGAACGCTCCTGAATTCCCTCCTGCCACTCCTGATGGCTGTGTGGAAACCTTGTCCTGGCCCAGCGCCCCAGCATAGGGCCCTCATAGACCCAACACCTCCACTCCCCCCTCAGGAAACTGTCCCCAAAGGCTGAGTCCTCTCAGCAACCCGGGGTTGCCTGCCCCCAGAGTTGGTTGTTTCTGTCTGGCCCACAGGCTATCATGAGACCCAGCCGAGACAGGAAGGGGTCAGGGTGAGTAGCACCACGCTGAGAGCTAACAGTGGCCGCAGGCATGAGAGGCCTCAGCTTCTGACACCCTGTGCCGCTGCGGAACCTTCTGACTTCAGACAGGGCAAGCCACATTCTCTACGGGTCCATTTCCCATCTATAAAAGGGGCGTGTGATCCCTACTGTGGCTACCTCAGGGATCAGGAGGGAGAGTGAATATGAAACTATTTTGCAAAGTTGCAACATACCACTTGGCTACCGGGGGCTGCTGGTAAGTGGGCAAGGAGGTGAGGGCTTAGGGAAGAAAGTGGTGCTAGAAGGGGGCTTAGCTCTTGCAGTCTCAATCCCCTTCCTGGGGCCTGGGGACTCTAGATTTGGCTAATCCCAAGGGCCCCCAGTGGAGGCATCATTTCCTTGTTAGAGGACGTCACGCAGGTACCCCAGAGTTGGGCCGGGTCGGCACAGGAGAGGCCCTGATGTCCAGTATCCGAGCAGATTTAAGGGAATGTCGCCCCCTCCCCGGCTCCTGCACGGGCTGGGTCGCCAGACGGCCAGGAGACAAAACAGCAGCAGCGACATCTGCCATTTACCAGGTCCTGGCTCTGTGCCTAGGGAACCCCTAGGCATGTTAGTGCCCCCATTTCGCAGATGGGACTGCTCCATGTCACACAGTCAATGGCAAGTTTGCCTGGATCCCAAGCCCGCACTCTATCCATTCTTCTTGGCCTTCTCAAAACAGGAGGAGGAAAGGAAATGGGTTTCAGAAGCGATTTCTCACCCCCTCTGCTTGGGAGCAAGGTCCTACCCTCTGCCCAGGGCCCTGTATCCCAGGCTCGGGCCTCACCTGGTGTGAGCCCAGCCAGCTGGGCAGGGCTGGAGTCATGAACCCGGCAGACAAAGGTCACCATCTCCACCCGCTGCTCCTCCCGGTGGTGAAGGCCGTAAGTCTGTAACAGACAAGGGGCCCATCAGCCAGGGGTGTGGCAGGGCCCGGCCATTTGTCAGAGTGGCCTTCCAACCCTGCGCTCCCTCTGTGCCCAGCTTCTCCCACCTGGATCTCAAAGCCGAAGGTCTGGTTCTCCTCCTTCTCCAAAGTCAGCACTTTCCTGCAAAGGGACACAGGGGCCATCTCATCAAGACTGTCAGGACTAAGAGGAGCTTGGCGGTCCCACAGCGTGGTCTTCCGCTGATGCTGGAGGTCTGCTCCAGAACATCCAGGCAGGGCTCACCGTCTCCAGCGCCAATTCAACTCTCCTCGCGGGTTGTCGGAATGCCCATCCCGATCCCCGGCTGACCTCCGCCCCACGGAGCCGTGGAGACTCAATCTCGCCTCCAGTGGAGGCAGGCTCTGGAAATGGCTGGCCCCCGGAGGGAATGGGCTTCCCGAGTTTTTCAGCCACACCTCCAGCTTTCTAGTGAGCCCGAGAGACTAGCCGACTAGCCGAGGCCCCACATTCGGCCCCAGCCCTGAGCCTCTCGGCTCCACAGCCTTGGGGAGAGGGCTGGCCCCACCCCCAGAGGCCAGTCACGAGGCTCGACCACAGCTGCTCCTCCCAGCTGCGACGGGCCAGCCCACCAGATGTGAGGCTGGGGGGGGGGGGGGGGGGGAGGGGAGCCTCGAGGCCGCCCCTTCCCGCACTGAAGGCCTGCCCACTGGACACAATGGTCTGGAGCGCCTCCAGATCCCCGCCTGCTGGGGGAGCCCAGAGCTTCCTCTGCCCACCCCCACCCCCTTCCTTCCCGCCCGGCCAGGGGCAGAGTGAAAGCAGCCTCCAAAGGCCCCTTCAAGTCTCGGCCGCTGAAAGGCCCTGGAGACCCAGGCCCGCAGCGCCCAGCCTGACCCAGATGCCCCTCAAATGCCGCACAGCAACTCCGGGCCCTGACTCCTCCCCACTGTAAACGCAGGCCTTTCCCCCCTCTGTGTGAGCTGGGGCGGGGCAAAGGGTGACCCAAGTGCTGTGTTCCCCCCCCCGGCGCGCTCTCGGGGTTTTCTGCAAGTGTTGGCGAACTTTTTCTGTAAAGGGCCAGAGAGTAAATATTTTGGGCTTTCTTTGTGGGCTCCATTCGGCCTCTGTCATACATTGTTCTGTTTTTATTTTTACAACCCTTTAGAAATATAAAAACAACTCTTAGCTCAAGGGCCAAACAGGCCAATCCGGCTGGCAGGCTGCAGTCAGCTGATCTATTTTAGAAGCCAGGCCCAAGTCTGCATGGGCCAGGGCCAGGGCCAGCACGAGGCCCGAGGTCAGGGCCTACTTCTTCCCCTCACCTCCGATGCTTCCTAAGAGGGCCGCCACAGGCTGGGACCAGCATAGGACTGGACTTCTGCAGGCAGGGCAGCCAGACTCAAGCAGCTGGACCCAGCTGGGCTGTGGTCTGGGCCCCCGGGGCTTGCTGGGGCTGGGAGAACTCAGGGGAGCCCGAAGGCTTCTGCTTCCTCCACCTCCCAGATCCAGATCTCCCCAGGGAGGGCTAACTGGCAGGGACTGCGGGTGGCATGAGGAACACCTGATGACTCAAAAGTCCCTACCTCCTTTCTCTGCCACCCCCTTAGCACAGCCCACACCCCCACCTGCCCCTCACTCCTAGCAAGGGAGCCGTGCAGAAAGGGTGGGAGAGTGAGGCCCCCTGGGCTGACAGCAGTGTCGTGCTGCCCCCCCCCCCCATCCCCACCCCAGCGCCTCACACTTTTGGACCAGGGCAGGGGCTGGGGTGCTGGTGACTCACCTCTGCTGTTCGGGACTCTGGCTGAGATTCTTCCAGCGGAATCCTGAGCCCTGCGGGGGAAGACAGAGGAAGGAGCAGGTGAGAGGGGAACTGTTCTTGAGCAGGTACTGAGAATCCTATTCTGGAAGGTCCCTCCCCTGGGCTCCAGCCCTGGACCGTGCACCTCACTTCCTGCTGCCTGCCTGTTGGGTCCCAGTTCCACACCTGCTTTGCTGCCAGTGTAACTGTTTGCCCAGTACCACTCCAGCATCACTCCACAGTTCTCCCTAAGGCTCTACCCCATAACTGAGACTGTGGGGACACAACAGTCCTACCAGTTTCCAGATGCATGAACTTTAATGGTTCTGTGCTAGCTCCCAGGTTGGGAGGCAAGGGGGACTCATTAATCTGGATAGAATAGTAATAGTCTCTGTCCTCAGGGCGTATGTCTGCAGGGCTCAGGCCTCCCAAACCCGGCAAGCTGAGGCAGGGGCTCTTTCCAGAGGTTCCCCAAGAAGGGCTGGGGTCTCCTGGGCTTGCCTGTCAAGGTACTCCAGAGACCCGTGCCAGTCGGGCATGTCCTCCTAATTTCTCAGCCACAGACAGTAACTTGGGGGAGCTGCGGTCAGAGGCCCAAGCGTGGAGGGGCAGGCAATCCCAGCCTGAACATGGAAAGGCAGGGGACAGTGGGGCCAAGTCTCCTCCCCCAAAGTACAGGCTGTTTCAGGGAGCAACTGTGGATCCCAGCTGTAGGTGGCCAGCTACACCCACCTCCACCTGTGTCTCTCGACATTGCCATATATTTTGTTGCTCTCTGGGACAAAAGCAAAAAACACAGATCTCAAACTTGTCCTTAAGTCTCACTATACTTAGGAGAGAGATTAGGAGGTTTTGTTTGGTTGGCTGGGGGTGGGTGGGGGGGTGGTGACAGGGAATGTCAGAGCTGAGGGTTCCTGCCTCCCTAGGGCCCTTGAGAAACTAGTCTCTCTCCCTCCCTAAATTATTGGTCTTTGGGAGAAGCCATCCCAGGCCAGCCCTTGTCCTGTGTGCCCTCAACAGCCCAGGGCCTTCCTGGTCTGTGCCCTAGTTAACCCTCCCCCCAGGCTGCTCCAAGGCTAGGAAGTGAAGTGAGCCCTCTTTTCTCCAGAAGCAAAGACCAGCCTCAGGGGTGAGGGGAGTTCCCAAATGGGCCAGGGTGGAAGGACTGGGCAGCACAGAGAGACCCCTTTGTCTTTCAACCCGATTTTCATAAAATGCAAATTCTCAACAAGCTGTTCATTGTGCGTGGTGGGGGGAAGCCAAGGGCCAGGGGAGGGGGGAACTGAGCGGGGAAGGCCCCCCCCCCTTAACCTGGGTCTTCTGTCCCCCTTTCTGAGCGCTCAGGTCCCCCCAGGCCAAAGGAAGAGTCTCGCGGAGGGGGAGACTCAGAGGGCGGGCGCGGCTCGCATCCTTCCTGCCCCGCGGGCGCCCTGAGACCCCTCCCACTGCGTCCGGTCCCAGCGAAGTCCCCGGAGCGGTAGCCTCGCGCCCCGCACCTCCGACGCAGGGCCAGGCGGCAGGCCCGGAGCCTAGCAATCCGAGCGTCCCCTCGGAAGGGTGAGCTCTCGGGAGTCCGCGGCGCTACACACTTTCTCGTCCACCCGCCTCTCCCCCCCCCCCCCCCCGCCCGGGGGCTCTCGGACCCTCAACTCGTCCGGGAGAGCGGCGGGACCCCAGCTCTAGGCCTTCACGTTCCAAATGGAGAAGCCCAGGCTGGGGGCCTGGGGGCCTAGAGACACCTGAGCGGGGGGCGGGGGGGGGGGGGGAGTAGGGGGCGGGGCACAGGGGTGTTGAGGGCAGCTGGAGCGAGTAGGAGAAGGGGGTGCTGGGGAGGAGTCGGGAAGGAGAGGAGCGAGACGCGACGGCGGCGCGTGGGGAGTGGGGAGCCGCCGAGATTGGGGGCGGCGTGGAGGCGGGGGCCGCGGCGCGGGGAGGCTTGCGCCTTCGGAGGAGGGGGCCCGGGAGACTGGCCGAAGGACAGCAGGTTCTGAAACGTGTCGGTGGGGAAGAGCGGGCCGGGGGGGGGGGGGGCGGGGAAAGTGGGGGACCCGGTGGCTCCCGAGGAATATATTGTGGGGTCAGCGGGCATAGATGCGGGATGTTGAGGGGCTGAGCAGGTCTCGGGGCAGGGAGGGACACCGGAGGGTACCTAGAGCTGGGGGGCCACGGGAATTGGGGGGTGGGGACGCACCTTTCGGCGGGGCAGGGTGCCCCCGGACACGGCGAGCGCGCGATACAGCTCGGCCGGGTGATAGTCCTCCAGCGCCGCGTACAGCTCGTCCCCGGGGGCTCCGGGGCTGGCGGCTGCAGCACGGGGACCGGAGGCCGGGGTCGGGGCCGGAGCGGCGGGAGCGACTTCCGAGTCGGGAGCCCTGGCGGCGGGGTCCGGGGCGGCCGCCGCCTCCTCCTTCTGCTGCAGCTTCCTGAGTCGGCGTAGGGTCATGGCTCCGGCGCCCGGCGACCGGCGACCCTCGGTGGCGGCGCTCGCTCCGCGCGGCGGGAATACCAGCGGCTCGGAGATGCCAGCCGGGCGGGCGGCAGGTCGCTTCCCTTTATAGGATTGGCGAGCTGGGCGGGCTGGGGGGCGGGTTGGGGGGCGGGCGGGGAGCGGCCTCGGGTGGCCTCGCCCCTGGAGCGGCAGGCCCCGCCCCCAGGGGGGGGACCGCTGCCCTGGAGCCCCGCCCACAGCGTCCGACACCCTGCCAGGCTGGGGAAAGTCTTGACCCGAATACCCGCTAGGGGAAAACCTAGCCAAGGAGGAGTGGGGCAGGGCATCCTGGGGCGGGGCCAGGGGTCTCCCGGATACCTGAAGAGGGGATGAGTGTGTGTGTGTGTGTGTGTGTGTGTGTGTGTGTGTATCTGTGAAGGGGCTTGTGCACGAGATTTGAAATGTAGAGATGGATGGCTTTGGAGATTCATGGAGAATCTGGTGGTGAGGGTACAGAAAGGGATCATTGTAAGGGATGGCTCAGGGAGGCATTGGGAGGCTCAGGGAAAGATTCTAAGAGATCCAGGGATCTGCAGGAGGCTTTAGGCAAGGGAAGAGTGGTGGCTGCGCTGTGCAGGGGGAAAAGGATGTACAGGGGGAAGGGTGAGATCCCTGAAGGAGGTTAGAGATAACCCTGAGCTGACTGTGCAGAACCCCCCCCCCCCGGAAGGGAGGGCCCGGGATCTCCCCTCTACACCACTGCCCCAGAAGAGGTGAAAGGCTGCCTCCCCTTCTCTGTCAAGGGGAGAGGGAAGCGGTGGAAACCCGGGATCCCGTGGGCGTAGTTCTGGTGTGTCCCCTGGGAGAGTCTGGAGAGTGGTCCCTCCTAGATAAACTTTCCCCCAGCTCCTGATGTTGGAGCTCAGATACCCCTTTTCCCAGCAGAAAGATCTTAACTGTGTGTTGACTCATGGAGAGGGGAATGTGCCTGAGCTGAGTGGGTGCTCAGGGTTGGGGGATGTGCTCAACCATTCTCTGACCCTGTCTTCGGGACCATCCCCCCCACCCACCCCCACCCCCGCCCTGTGTTACCGTGGCTGCCAGGCAGTGGGAGAGACTGGAACAGCCCAGCTGAAGTCTCTGTCGTCAGTGGTGCCCAAATAAGAAGTGAGAGGAGGAAGTGGAAGGCCAGTCTTGGCGTCTAAAGAGCAGCTAGCCACCACAAGGCGTCAGCATCACAAGCTGGGGGCCTCCGCATCCCACCATTGGCCACTAAACAGAGGCTGGGGAGGTACAGTCCCCATCTGTCCCCTTCTCCTCCAGTCTTCCCAAATCTGTGTTATGCCTTTACAGCTGACATTTATTGAGCCTTTACCATGGGCCGTGCACACCGTTCTGTGGGTGCTGTTACATACATGTATTAACTCATCTGGCCTTCGTAACAACCCTAGGAAATCGGTACCTCACGGATGAGGAAACTGAGGCCCAGGGAGGTTAAGTAACGTGCTCTAGGCCACTGAGTGCCAGAACGGAGGCTCAGAGCCAGGCAGCCCGGCACCGGAGCCTGCCATCCTAACCCCCATGTGATGCTGTCTTCTTCAGTTTCTCCTTCCCCGTACATTTATGCCCTGAGCCATGCCGGGCACCGGCTGGGCACTGGGGCTACAGAGTCTATGGTCTGGTTATATATACATGCGCTGTGTTAGACGGGTGGCATGAGCGGTCCAGAGAGGCAAGTGGCCACATCCCACAGGAAGGAAAGGCTGTCTCCTGTCTCGGTGCCCTGGTCTGTCTCAGTCGCCGTCCTTCCTTGTCTCCTTGACTCTGTCTTTCCCTCAGCCCCCCATCCCTGGGGCCCCAGCTCCTGCAGGAGCTATGGGTGGGAGCGGTCTGTGCCACCCCTCAGTAATTACACAAGTCCAGATGGCAGGATGCTTGTTGGGTGGGGGGCAGAGGGTAGACTGGGGGCTGCTGGGAGCCAAGAGCTGAGTCCCTTCGTCTCCCTCCTGCCACCTCCCCCTGGGCACCACCAAGTGGCCATCGGCTGAGGGGCCGAGGGGGTGTTGGTGGGGAAACGTGGGACTCTATTGTGAAGCATCAGCACAGATGGACCCCTGGACCGTCTGCTGCCTGCTCCTGACAGACGGCATCTGGGGTGGGGGTGGGGGTGGGGGTGGGGGTGGGGATGGGGATGGGGAGGAGAGCAAAGGCAGGGGAGGCAGTGGTTTGGTTTCTTTTCTCTTCACTCCTGTGCGTATCCCTGAAGAGACCAGCAAAAGGGCACCCTGTAGGATCCCTTGTGCGAAGGACCACCACCTTACCTATCCCAGGGATGACCTAAAGGACACCTCCTTGCCTGAAAGCTGGACAAGTGAACACCACGGGTGTCACGGCACCCGCGTCTAACAGCCCTGTTGAGACATTCCTCCTTCAGGGGCGCCTGCGTGGCTCCGTCGGTTAAGCGTCCAGCTCTTGATTTCAGCTCAGGTCACGATCTCACAGTTCATGTGATTGAGCCGCGTGTCAGGCTCTGTGCCGTCAGCGCGGCGGCTGCTTGGGATTCTCTTTCTCCCCCCACCTCTCTGCCCCTCCACCTGCTGGCATGTGTGGTCTCTCTCTCGAAATAAATAAACATTAAAAAAAAAAAAAATAGACATTCCTCCTTCAGGTTTCCCCCTCTTCCAGGCAGAGCTCCGGAGAACCAAAGAGTAAGTGTGGGCCCAGGAAATGCAATTTCTGGGAGGCACGTGGCATGATTTCTTCCAGTCCTGGAATCCAAGAGCTGGAAAGGAAGGGCCTGCCCTGTGGCCTGGCAATGATACGACGTGGTCCAAGCACTCATTGAACACAGGAGGCAAACTGAGACCCGTGGGGTGGTAAGGATGGAGGCAGGACAGGCCCTAGTACCCACTAGACCCAAGGTCTCCGGCCTCCAGAGACTATTTAATTCAGCTGCTAGTTGCTCCCCTGAGAGTTCAGAGAGTTCAGAGATATGTGTGTGTGTGCCTGCTTCTTTCTCCCAATCTCCTCAGTATCTCCAGGGAGGGGATGGGGGGCCCAGGATGCCACACTATGGGGTGGTGATGCCCTCTGCTGGCCGTGGGTCTCTGGGTGGAAAATCTTCAAACCAGAGTGAAGGGCTGTCTGGCTAGTGCCTGGCTCCACTCGGGATCTGAGCGGGGTTTAGGGAATCCCCCACATCTCCTCTCCTGCGCAAGAGGGTCCGTGTCCCACTGAGATGCCAAGCTCCCCTTCGGTCACAGAGTTCCGGAGTCTCACCGCTGGCCCAGTTAGGAAGTTGCGTTTTTGATCTCCACCAGGGCTGCCGGGCTGCAGGTGAAGTTCAACAAGGAGAGGGCGGACAGCTGGAGGGGGCTCCTCTGTGCAAGAGTCTCCACACGCCAGACACGTGAGGTCGCTGGCGCTTTGCCTTTTCCCACCCTCCGCGACTTCCTCCTAAGCTCTTGCATGGCATCTGCTCCCTCCATCCTATCTTCCGCGGCTCCTTAAACCTCGGGGGTGGAGGGGAGGGTGGGGAGGAGCCTGCTGCGCACGCTGCCTGCCTGCTGGGACACCTCTCTCTGGGAGGCCTCCTTGCAAAAGCCCCATGACTCTGGCCCCTCAGACATCTGCACTCAATCTGTGGCTCATCCCGAGCCAGTCTGTGTTTGAGAAGAGCTCCCCAGCTTTTCCTCCGTTCGCTCCAGTTGCCCTGGCTCTTAGCTCTTGGGATAGGGCTCGCTGCGGCGTGGGCTCGCCTAATGGACAAGGTCTGCGGGAGACCCCTCCCCTTTGGGACGAGCCCCGGCCTGGATACCTAACAGTCAACAGTGCCCGGTGGAGGAAGTGGGGAGAGCCGACTCTTGTCCCCACCGTCCTGCTCCGTGTGCTCGAGCTCTAGGGTGCCATCAGGAAGCCGGGGCACTTAGGGCGAGAGCTCCGGCAGCTCAGGCCGCTCTGCAGTCTAGCTCGATGTCCGCTCCAGCATCATCCTTTGCTTCCAGAACGGGGAGAATGAATAATAAATAGCGCGCTGGGATTCCCCTCTGGGTACTGCTGCTGCTCCTAAGCTAGGGAACTGGGAGAGAGAGGGCCTGGGACTCAGCTGGCGCTCTGGTCAGGAATGAGGGGCTGGGCCCCCAGTTGCATGACACAGAGGGAGGCACAGACAGCCGGTGGGCAGCTGACTGGGCAGGGAGTGGTTGTTTTTCCTAATGGCGCCTATTGCCCAACAGTTTCCACTGGATAGTGTCTGTGTGTGGCGCTGGGGCCCAGGGGAGCCCGGCAGCAGGATCTGGCACAGCCCAAAGAGCCGATTCTAGGGGGTCTGGGAGTAAGGGCGAAGCAGATATGGTAGTTTGTTTATGTTGGAGACGGGTGGCCTCTGGGCCTAGTGTGGCCCAGAGGCCTGGGACCACCTTGCCTCTTGGGTGGGGAGGACGGGGTGTCCCCAGCTATGTAAACAGGAGAGATTGACAGAAGAAGGGAGGGTTAGCCCCCCAGCCTGCCTCACAGCACCCATGTGCTACTTACTCCTAGGACACAGGGCACGTGTTATTTTACCTGCCTTGCTCGTTTCAGAGCACGTACAGTGAGAAACAGAAAACAACTGTTCTTGGGGAGCCTGGGGGGCTCAGCGGGTTGACCGTCGGACTCGGCTCAGGTCATGATCTCACAGCTCATGGGTGCGAGCCCCGCATCCGGCTCTGTGCTGACGGCTCAGAGCCTGGAGCCTGCTTCCGATTCTGTGTCTCCCTCTCTCTCTGCCCCGCCCGCAACAGCGCGCACGGGCATGCTTTCTCTCAAAAATAAACATTAAAAAAAAATTTTTTTAAGGGAAGAAAAAAACACACGCACAACAGTTCTTAGGGCCCCAGATACCCCAGTCCTCCGCCCTCTTGGCAGACACAGTTGCTCTGGTGGCTCGTCCCTGGTTCCCTCCCCAGGAGACAGGGTTGTGCACCCAACTATGGTTCTCCCATCGACTCCAAACTGAAGCTGGCTCCCCTCTTTCCCTGCCTGTTCACATGTGATCATGCCCCAAATTTGTGCGTTCTCCCATGGTCTCTCCCTGCCCTCCAGCTGTCCCTGCGCCACCACCACAGCGGTTGCCTCCCAAAGTCTGCACTGTGATCATCCCGAACACAAACAGGATCTCTTCCTCCCCCCCCCCGCCCCGCCCCTGCTAAAACCCACCAATGGCCTATTCCCTCCATCGGGAATCAGGAACCCCACAGAGGTTTTAACTTAAGGGCGGCTCCACATACTCATGCTATAGAGGACAATTTGGAGATCAAGTCCAGACTCAAGAGGAAAAAGTGCTGATTTGCACAGGCTGAGGCAGCCGTCACAGGACAAGTGATGGCACTGGTGGCCCCCAGGATGAAGTCTTATTTCCTCAGCACGTGACAGCCCCAACGGACTCCCTCCCTGCGGCTCTGGCTCCCTTGCCTCTAGCCTTAGCTGAGGACATCTGTGGTTCTTGAAGGGTGACACACGTTTTGATTAAAACCCTCTCCTCCTCTCCTCTGCCAGCAGGCCAACGCCTACAACAAAATAGAGATGTCACCTCCCTTGACCCCAACCCACTGGCGGTCCTGTGCTCGCAGGACGTCCTGTATCTGCCCCTATCCTAGCATGTACTTCACCCCACTGTGGTTATCTACATGCCAGTCCGTTCTGCTAGTTTGGGAGCCCCTGGAGGGCAGGGGTGCCTCCTTTCTTTCCCCAGGCGCCTGGTGTAGGCTTCCACGATACGTTACGTATAATTCTATAACAGGACTTGCCAAAATCTGCCTTATTGTCCTCTCTGTACAAACCCTCTGTCTTGAAGGGCGAGGCCCACAGACTGCGTTCCGCCTGCTTTATACATTTAGGGTTGCTCAACAAATCGAAGAGAGCCTAGGCCATCCGATTGTTCCTTAAACCTTCCCGCCCCATTAGCACCCATCCTTGGTTCCCAAGGAGCATTCCTAGAGGGACCCACGCCTCTCTGCCATATTCCTTAAGTCCCATCCTGTCGGACCAGGGGATGCTCAACGACTTCCGGCTCGTGGTGCTGTTTGAGTAAACACGTCTAGATGTTGCTATGAGGGTATGTTTTAGATGTGATTAACATTTCAATCAGCAGATTCTGAGGAAAGCAGATTACCCTCGGTAACACAGATGGGCCTCATCCAATCAGTTGAAGGCCCTAAAAAACCCTGCAGTTCTCTGAGGAAGAAGGAACTCTGCCTCCAGACTGCCTCTGGACTCAAGACTGCACCATCAACTCTTCCCTGCATCTCTAGCTGTCGGCTTGATTTGAAACTTGCCAGCCTCCACAGTCAAGTGAGTCAATTCCTTGAACGATCCCTCCATCCGTCCACCCTATTGGTTCTGCTCCTCGGGAGAACCCCAGTACACCATTCCAGGCTTGACCCAAAGCCTCCCCCCTTCAGGCCACCTTCATTATGCATCCCTCCTAAGTTCCTGAGTGCCTCCTCAATTCTACTTTACCCTTCATTCTGTTTTGGTCCTATTTAGCAAGCACGTTCTCCAGACTGTAAACCTCAGAAGACACGACCTGCCAGGGACAAAAATTTAAGAGTTGTGAAAAAAACCCCAAGTGAGACATTATTCCAAAGAATTCAGGTCTCCTGTGTCACAGGGGCCTTGCAAAGGTGAAACAGTGTCGGTAACCTTCAAGGCACACAAAGAGGTACCAGCAAAGTTGCCCTTCTGATGTTCAGAATGGTGCAGGTGAAGCTGCAATCCATAGCCTGGTGGATTTTCGATCCACGCCTGGCAAGATGACTGATCCGTCACAGGATGGCTTTTTAACGGGGTTGAGATTCACTACGAGCCACCACATCTTTTTCAACAGAGAGCTTCAACAGCCACAATACCTTGTCACTTCAGAGACACCTGGATTTCTGCAGCTATCTTTGTCCATAAATGAATTATGGCTAGGGCACAAGGACAATTTAATTAGCAGCTGATCCGGGTTATTGGGCTTTGTGCCAAACTTCAAGCCAACTTCTTAGAGGTGAGTTACTTGATTTTCTCCAGCCGGACAGTCTCAGATGAGAGAACAATGGAAAACTGTGGATAACTGTCAGAATTTTTTTTAGATTATTATTAAATTATTTATTTATTGAGAGAGAGAGGTGGGGAGGGGCAGTGAGAGGCGGGGGGGGGGGGGGG